ATCTTATTCCATTGTATAATCCCCAAAAGGTTGCCTGCTTTATAATAGCAGAAGGGAGGTTGGAGAATATGTGCATTTGGTTCTGGCTGATATTTAAAAGGAAAGTTGAAAGTGTCTTGCCTATGCATCTGTGCGTGGAGCTCCTTTCTACATAAGAATCAGAAATATTTTTGAAAACACTTATACTGTAATTTAGGTAGTCATGGCATAGTGAAACATTAAAAGGGATCTAGCTCACTGGACTGAATCGATCTGAAAGGGTGGAATTCCACCCTCTGCATGCTTGAGCGGTCTGTGCAATGCCAAGCTTTCTTTTAGTTTTCCTCCTTTGAGCTGCCTGTGTTTGTGAGTTAAATAGAAAACCGGAGCCACATTACTGAGGCTGCAGCATGAAAGTACAGTGCAAGAAACACTTGTCACCGTGAATAAATAGTGAAATGCATTTTTTTAAAGTTACTAATTCCGTTTGGCATTTCTGAGCCTGATGCTGGAAACATCCATCTTGTTAAAAAGTGATGTCATTTCTGACACTACCAACATTAGCCCTCTGCAGAAGAGACTACAACCCAATTTTCAGCCTGCTTTAATAATGATTTAACAATCAAAGTTCACTAATATTTAGAGCTAAATGTTCAACCCAGCCTCTAACTTGTTCCCACTCGTATATATAAAAGATGCAGCCATGCAACTGCACTTTACAGATACAGACACCTGTGGATACAGTTTAAAAATTCTAACTGGTTTATGCACATTTTAGTATTACACCAACATCAGCTATTGTCCCCAGGAGAACTCATGTTTGGCTCCAGAAGTAAGAAGCCTTCTATTCCATTATCTAGCTCCTGATGCAGTCAGTCCACCATGGAATGGTAGGTTTATTGAATGAATAATTAAAAAAATGTTTATAACTTTCTGCTTTTGCATATTTTTGTGTAAAAATCTGGCTTTAGAGATATGTTGTTAAAGGAACACACACATAATATCAAGTATAAGACAACATAATATCTTTTACTTTTGCAATTTGATTTTAAATCCCTGTCACATTGTGAGATTATGACATTAAAAATGACTCGGCCAAATCCATAAGCAGATGATTTTTTAAAATTAAATTATCTAATCTTATTGGTTAAAAGTATCGTGGAAGATCTGCTGTCTTTTTGCTTTAAAATTGACATATTATGGCTATGCCAATAAAATAGAAGCCTTTGAAATTGGACTTTTTTGCTGATTAACATTTCATCATTATCAGAGACTTAAATCCTGCTGTAATAGTAAATGTGTGTTGAGAAGTTCTGGCAGAATCAGTGGCAAGTGTGCAGTATCAGTCCCTTCCCCTCATGATTCTATGCCAAGGTTTTGAAAAATAGCTAGTCAGTCTTTTTTAATGTTCAGACTGAGGCATTTTAAATCCCCTGATTATTACAAAATGGAGGCTCTGAGAACCACACTTACTTTTGAAAGTCTTGGGCCTCCAGTAGAATTATATCTGCCTATTACCTCATTTCATATGTATACCTTATTTCATTCAATATTATTCTAACACAAGGTTAAAATAATTCTGTTTTACTTTCCAAATACTCAAAATACTTTCAAATGCTAGCAAGTCATAAAAATATTGATATGTTCATATGCTATCATATTGGCTTCTGTTTCCAGGGATGACTCGCAGAAGACATACAGCTAGTCTGCCTTATATATAAATGTGTCCAACGAGGCAAATCCTGAGGACCATGTTTGCTGTTCATTCAGTTCATATTGAGGCATGCTTCTATGTTTTTATGTACAATAAACAATAAGTATGGAGATTTTTAGCCCTTTTCTCACAACTAAGTACACGTATGCAAAACTTTAACAAGTACCTTGTTATTGTAATGTCCTATATAATCTCATAGTAGTTTATCTAATCATAATAATGGCTGCATTTTTTTGCTACAGTATATCATAGGAATTGCCTCATCATAATAAACTCCTGCCATTTGGAGCTGCTTATTCCACAAAACTTGCAAAGTGGTGCATAGCTCCCTGGAGCTGATTGACACAAACCAGTTGTAATCAATGGTAGTCCCGAAAAAGAGCCAGTCTGAACCTTAGTTCAGTATTTAAGGTTAATTATGATGAAGGTTCAATAAAGCTCAGTTAACTTTTGTTGTTTTCAGTCTTCAGATGTTTCTGGTTTGAGGAGGAACCAGAAGCAGCACAAAACTGTGAGAATGAGCAAAAATTAGCCTGGAGATTCTGAGGATGGAAACAATTGGAAAGTAACTAGGATGGGAAATATTTCTGTACTTGGGGATGGGTTTTTGGAGCATGGATGGGCTGTGTATGAAGAAGAATTCAAGTATTTGGAGAGTTTAGGAAGAAAGACAGAGGGGAGTTAGGGCAGTGTTTGTACTCAGTGGGACTGGTCTACTGCAGGAACCTGAAGGGCCTTGGGAAAATCCTTAGCCAGGAGGTGGTAAGAAATCAAGTGCAGGGTAAAATGGAGTCAGATTATGAACTGATTGAATACAGGGTTTGTAGTTAGGAAATGCTATAGTAAAAGTTAGATTAGGAGGGAAGAATCTGAGACTGGGAGAGAACAATGAAAGCATCACAGGAAGAAAAATACTGTATTTTTCCCCTCTGCCCTTTACTGTATATTATTTTAGCCCCCATTTTGAAAGGAGAAGTGTATGGGAGTGAGGCCCAAGTGCCCTTCCCCCTCCTACTTATTCATTAACATTCATTATTCTACAGGAAAACACAGTAAATTGATGCTCTTTCAAATAAAAAATATAGACATATAGGAAGGGATGCCAGTTGCCCTTTGATATGGTCAGAAGCAGACCCGGACACAGGGCATGGGTGAACTGGGCGGCTGCCTGGGGCCCGAACAGAAACGGGGCTCGAAAATGAAAAGAAAAAAAAATTACAATTGTAAAAAAAAGTTTTGATATTGCGTCCATGTAGGATGACAATGTTATCCATTGAGAACAAACTATTTAAAGACATCAATACTACAGATGTGATAATGATTTTTTTGTTGCAAAAGTCTTTATCTCTGGTGAAGTGTGTGGGGGGGGACGGGGAGCAGTACTAAAACTTTGCCTGGGGCCACCAGGAGTCTAGGTACAGCACTGGTCACAAGGCTGGTGTGTTCCAGTGATGTTGACTTGCTCTTGCCAGTAAAGCTGTCAACTAGGGTTGTACTTTCTAGCCAGCATAGTTCTTCCAGTAACCCATTCCCCCCTGACTTTGATATAGTATGCCCTGTGATATGGTAAGCCTCTGTGAAATCTGTCAGTAGGAGTTTAATTCTTGGTAGGTCTACCCAAGCACAACAGGTCAAAGTGCAGGGCCCAGACCTGGCTCTCCAGTTCACTGGCTTTTAAGGTTGAGGGTTGAACAACAGACCAAAACGCCATTCTCAGAAGAATGTTGCACAAACACAGCAAGGTTGCTTTTCCAGCAGACAGCACAATGATCAGGGATAGCATAGCCTTGCTAATGCCCCAAGTGGCATCTAACAGCCCAGGACAGATTCAGATTCAAAAGAACCACTCAAAAATGTTTGGACAAATCAGTTTTCCATTGTTAAATGCTGACTCAATGGAATCAATATGTTCCTATGGAACATGTCATTGACATTTTTGACAGAGATCAAACATGGTGGCTGGCCGGCTGACCAACCTGTTTTCCTTTCAGCATTCGTGGTTCCCAGGGTACTGGAACTGAACGTTTCTCTAGGACTCTGTACCACAAGTGTCAAACTCCCTAGCAGCCTATCAAGACAGCTGACCTGGCAGCCAGCTGCCACTCCAGAAAGTTTCAAAACATTCTGTCTATATTTAACCAGAATAGTCTTTTCCAAAGATTTCCATTCTACGCCATTTCATAGTTATGACCTTGCATTTCTATTTGGAATTTGCAAATGTGAAACAAATATTCTGTGGGGTGGCAATTCAAATTCCCATCAAATTCTCTATGAATAATTTAAATGGTACCTTAACTATATCACTGCTCATCAAGGCACATTAGAAATGAAAGAAAGAATTGTACTGTGTTTCTCTACCCAGAAGTTTCCAAAGAACTTCAAGGAATGCTGCAAAATATCAGTAGAAGTTGGAAGATGTTCAAATTAATGTATGTAACTTTTAACAATACATAGGGATCAGCAGATTTAATTTGTTTGCTTTCAAAAGTTTGAGAAACTCTTCTTTTGGGCGGATACATCAATAGTTAAGGAGAAAAGAACTGTAGTTTCCATATTGTAGTATTAAGTCATGCTCTTGGTTCTGTTTCTGACTTAACGACTGATCTGCTAACTGACCACAAGCAAATTATTTTATTGCTCAGGGAAAAATCCCACAATCTTTAGGCAAAATAGAACTAAAATCAAGGTCTGCATGGACTTCAGTTTCAAATATATTATACATAATAATACAATAATGCCATTTCCTTTCCTTTTTTCCCTCCACATCATGGTAGTTTTTTCTCTGAGGAATGAGGCTGAACATGGTTCATTCTGGAGATGGGTGTAGATCAAAACTCCAGATCTGAATACCCTGAACACCTCATTCTCAAACCTCTGTAGTTGAACCTATTTTTGTTCCTTCTTTCCTCTGCCTTTTGTGGTTCTCGAATCTCACCAACTTATAACACTGTCATTTGTTTACCTCCCAGTCCTAGAAGATCTGCTGTGCCAGAGACCTCATGACTCGCAGGGCTCCAAAATGCCTGAGCTTAGCAGCATGCCTACTGAACTGAGACAAATGAGAAGAGCAGGTCAGTCTGACGAGCTAATCAGTACTCTCCTCTAGGAAAGATTACACTTACAGGACATACTCCACAAACCGCAGAAAGTTCATGGAATAGAGCCAAGACTGAGATATAAACCCAAACACAATCCACATTCCTTCAGTCATACAGGTCCTCAGACACAGCCTGTCCTTTGACCTGTTGTAAAGAACCTTTAAAAGTACAATTCTCCACCCCACCTACTGTACCATTTTTACGGGAGGATTTCTTATCCAGTCACCCAGTGTCATGCATTTCCTCCAAGCACTGCAGAACTGCAGCTACTGAAAAATCTTCAAATGCCCAGCCTAGCCTTTCTGCCTGGTCCTTTAGGTCCTCACATCTTTCTTGTTTGGACCCTTAATAACTAGATTAGTGTATTTCTTGGCCTCTGCATTAACCCTTATATGAACTGTCACATCAGCTCAGGAAGCTTTGGAGTTGAGTGTTCCAGTAGAAAGAGAAAGTAAATTGTGGACTTACAAGATATTTATTCTTTTCTTAGAATAAGAGTATCCAATTCTCCTGAACAGGCTTGGATAGGAACATGGCATAAATAGCCAAGATATTTTTTAAATTACAAAAAACAATTATCCAAAGCTGTCATGTAAGTATCAGAAATAGATCAGCTCAGCTGAATGCCAGCCCACATGACTAGTTCTGTTAAAGTTTGTCTTTTCATGCAATTTCAGTAATTTGGGAAGAAGGGCTGATTATTAATGAATTAGGATCTCCTCTTCCATGGCTCATGCAGATCCACCATTCAGGCAGCTTTGATCCAAGCAGCGGTGAGGATCTGACCCATTTCTAAAGAATCAGCAGCTCTGTCCCTTCTCTAAGAAGAACAACTGAATGGGAAGGTAAGATGATTCTTCTTCCTTCTGTCTTGCATAGAAAACTTAGTTCCATGTTTCATCTTAAGGATTTTGAAGGTTGATATTTTGGTTTTAGCCATCAAGTGAGGCTTTTGGTTCCATTCTTCTCTGATGTTTGTCCCTGTAATGTTTGCATAGAAATAGATAGGACGTATTTGTGGATGAATACAGAAGTGCTAGGACTGATCTATGCAGAAAAATGGGTATGGAGTTCTTGTCTGCAATATGCCATGCCAGTGAGTCTCTCCTAGCATTGTTCCCCAGTTTCATGAGTACCAAAATCATAGATTTAAAGATGAAAAAGTAAACTATGATTTGCAGCACGGGTGTATATGTCTTTGTGTGTATATGCATATGTATACATGATGTGGCAGGTCCTGGACTATATTGTCAACTGAAATAAAGCATCCTGGATCCATTGACTGTAACGGAACAATGCCGACTTACTTACTGCAGCTGAGAATCTCCTTATTCTATTTCAAGTTTTTGTGTTAAAATAAATGACCAAATTCTGTTTGTGTATCACTAGTGTAAGTGGGAATAAGTTTACAAAATCCATAGAGTCATGCTGGATGTATGCTATTCTGAGAGCAGCATTTAGTTCAAACTCTTAATGAGGTATAATAACTGCTGCATTTAACTTCTTTATTCTTCCTTTTTTCTAAATATTATACACTTATAGAAATTCTTGACTAAATCTTTCTCTTCAGTCCTCAATGCCATGCTTTGTGTAAATAGTTTATTTGATTTGACACCCACTTCACCAAAGGTTGTCCCTTCTGCTCTGTCTATCACGGTTGGTGTCAAGAAAAGAGAAAGAAAAATTGCACAGCTGGCAATACAGTAAACCCAAAAATATACAAAAATGTACCAGAGGGAATAGTCATCAACATAAAGTGAACAAGCACCCAGACTATTGATTACATGCTGCTCACAGAACACTAGGCATTTCTGCCAACTTCTTTCCACTCATACGCTGAGCTGCAGACAGCATGTTGTACTTTGCATCATCAGTTTTGATGAATAATGCACTGATAAACACTGCAGCCAATATTCTGGAGGAGCTGAGAAGCCAGATGTCATCTGGACCTCCAATAGTTTTAACCCTGGGTCTTTGACAGTCACTGAAATAAACACCAGACATGCACTGCAGAATGGGCAATTCCTAAATGCAAGGTTATGTGCAATAGTATACTATATTTTACTTGAAAACATATGAAAAATGAATGGGTGTTATAATTCTTTCACAAATAACTTTAAGTGATGCTGAGATGTAAGAAACCACAGCGGCTGTCACTGCCAGATATAACTTACACCAAGAAGTGCTATAACACTCTGAAACAAAAGAGAAATTTCACCAGCTGTGAAGGCACAGTCCTGCAAGGGGCTTGGGGATTCTCATTTCCCTTTAACAGAATGGAAGGGAAGGTGTGCTCAGCACTTCCCAGAATTAGGACCCTAAGGGGATATTCCATTTGGAAGCCTGGTTACGTTCTTCCTACAGCAAACTTTTTAACAGCTATTAGAACGGAAAATTAGCCTCTCACCTTGGCTAAACAACAGGTCATTATTGCTCAATAGTATAATGCAGACTAGCATTTCTATAGGCCTTTCTACACTATTTTTGCACTCGAAATATATCAAACCTAACAATAAGCATATAAGGCTCATTTTTTTCAAACAATCTGTGTATACACTGCCTGTATACTATCTATTGAAGCAATATGTGCTTCGGAGATCTCAAGAACAGTGATCATGCAAGTTTCAAAATGGGCACATGAGGTATCAGTCTTACAGGCCCAGTGCTGCCTCTTAAAATCTATCATGAATGAACAATAGAGTCAGCACAAGAGGGGCTGGTGATGAACTTTCTTTGCAAATTCCATGCAACAACACAAGCTTACTGTGACATTCTTACCACTTCCTCTCCCATCAACTAGAACAATCAGGGGTATATCCCCTGGCACCTCTAAACCAATGATGGTGCATGTCAGGGAAAGTATGACAGGGATAGATCATTCTAGATATACCCTGTTCATATCCTCTCCCTAATATATGTCAAAGACAGGATGTTGGGCTAGGTGGACCATCAGTCTGACCTAGTATGGCACTTCTTATGTTCTTAACCAATTTGTTCAACATTTTATAGACAAGCGCTCTCAATGTCAACAAAAGAGAATGCAATGATAATTCACTACAATTAAGAGCCCAGACTTGCCTTCAAATACAAGGGTTAAACTATCTAGGAAGTTAATGAGAGTTGTCCCTGTTTGTCTGCATTCGGAAATTGAACATCTAATCTTCTAATAAATGTAAATACTTAAGTTGAAAGCCATACATGTCTGAATCTCCTAGACAGTGATAACTGATGCTTTTGCAAGCACTAAGGCAGAGTTCTGTACCTTCTACACATGTGGAACCTACAAGAGTGTCTTGGATTTTTCCAGTTGGAAATGGATGAAATGGGCCCCTCTTTTGTAACTGCTGGTTCCCAAAAGTATATCATCTCTATAATACCTGATGCTATCGCACATTTTAAGAGTATTAAGGTATATTGTGAATCTCTAACCCCCATCCAAAATTAAATAATCTGTCAAAAATTCTCAATCCCTGAAAGACAGAATTATTGTTTTAAAAAAGCAAGAAGTACTATCAACTGCTCTTAGACAGGGACAGCCCACCTAGGAGTAAAGCACTTTTGGAGAAGCAGTAATTAGCTTCCCTCAGCACTTTGTGACCATATCATCTTCTCCATCTTGTTAAATGGAAGTGGAATCCCAGATGAGTCTCACTTTGGAAAAGGATGAGCGCCAAGGGGTTATATTTTAACTGAACATTTTATTTAAGGAAGAACTTTTTAACTCAAAAAGAAATAGCAGTTTCTTAAAGCTGCTTATAGCTGTTTATGCCTAATGGATTGGACAAATTGTTCAAGAACAATTTCTCTGTATGAAAATATGGTCCCATAAGGCTGTCAGGGTCAGTAAGACCCCTCATGGTTTGCTTGACAAGTGCAGCTATTTCACCCAGCTAATTTTCTAGGAAAACGTTTGGACAAAAGAATATACAAGATTTACATATTTGAGGGAGCTCCTCCCTTTGTCTATTTTCTCCACTTTCTTTTGGCATGACCATTTTTTGCATACTTGGCAAGTGGCCTAAGATGTGTGCTTATTCTAATGCTAACTGGGGAAAACAAACATCAGATAATATGAGTCTTACAAAGCTATTTTTGCATTTAATTTATCAAAAACCTGACAGATGCAGAGCACTAATGATATTGGTATAAAACAGTCAGAGAGAAACTGACATGGACCTGGAAAAAGTGGTTAAAACAAAATAGTAATGCTCAGGAAATTCATATATAGATAAGAGTTAGGCTGTAAAAAGACCGAGACAGTGACTATAATGGAATTTCTATTATTTTGACATTGATGGGGATAGCAATAGTGGAGTCATTAAGACTGGATGCATGTTTTCAAGTATGGTACCAAACTGTTTCTTCAGCTTGAGGAGCAATCAACAAGACCAGGAGCTATTCTGGACTTAATCCAAGGAAATGAAACTAGGTGAAATGAATAATATGGAAGATGATAAACCCTTAGGGCAAAGTTATAATATCACCAAATTGAAAATACTTCTGAGAATATTTGTGAATGGTTTTAGAAGTACATCAGTGCCAAGAAAGAGCTGAAGAAAGTGGATTGTAATCAACTATTTGTGGACAGTAGTAGAAAAGTGTATAGTATTTAAGAAATGGCAAGATTGATTTATATTAATTTTTCTATAATCACAGTCAAAATGATAACAGAAGAAAGATGAAGCTCTCAACAAGATATAATAAAGGTATCAAAATGCTCTCCTTATTTAAAAGGCCAGGCAGCCTCAAAAAATGGGGAGGTTTGACAGATTTTAAATGAATGAGAACAGCATCATGAGAATACCAACAATGAATAATATCCATTAAATATTTCAATCAAGACTGAAGCCAAGTTTCTCAAGTGCATGCATGCAATGTAAATAGCAAAGGAAGAAAAGGAAGATGGTAATGAAACAAAGAACACCCTTTCCTATCTGTCTTCACAGATTAAGAAACTAGTGTTCAAATTTTTATCGAGCCTTGACGTCCCACTGGTTTCAATGGGGCTGGTCATATGAGTGAGGGCTATTCCGACTAGTTTGGTTTATGTTCTGTGGGATGTTATATCAGTGGTCAGTACCCAGAGCAACAATGTCTTAACCAGTGTGAGTTGACCATCTTATCATAAGTAATAGAATACTTAGAAATGACCTGATGAGAGATGAAGTATGAGCTCCACTGTGGCCATATTTTGTATGCTATAGCAGTCTGGAAGTGGAGAAAGAGGTCTTACTGCATATAAACTATTCAGACTTTTAATTGCATTTATTACTTTTGAGCTGACATTTGGCACAAACCTTCCTACTCCAAAATGCTGTGAATTGCGATCCCAAAAAAGACACACAAAAACTCCAGTTACATTCTGCTTTATTATTGGTAGAACAGCCAAAAGAAACAGGACTAAATTCTACCGTGACCAGTGCAAGAAAGGGGGCCAAAAATACCGCCCAATGTATCCTCCACAAAGGATGGGATTTTTGCCAGTGAAATCAAGACTCCTTAAGGTAGGCAAGGGAAATGTGATTAGGAAAGGACTTTGGTTCTTCTTTGAGAAGATACAATGCGCCCTTGGTTAGAGCTTGCTGCTGACTGCAGCATGCACTCCAGCCACATGGGGAAAGGCTAAACACGCCTGACTAGCCAGCAGCTCATGCCCCTTTAGGAATGTTTTATTTCGTTGGCAGTCTCTTTTAATGCTTTGTTGAGCATTATGGCTGGATTGTTTTTCTGTAAGGAAAATAAGTTCTTCTCTATCCCAAACCTACTTCCCTCAGCCCCATCTCTGAACAGCACATACCACAGGGGTGAGCAAAATATGGCCTGCAGAGTAGATTTGACATGCCAA